TGCCTTAGTTTTCTTGTAGTGATGGGAAAATGTATATCCTCTAGTCTTTGCTTCTTTTGTTAGTGCGTCCGCTCGACTATTCTTACTTCGGGAAATATGAGACATGCTCACAACCTCGAAGTCTTCATGTAATCTCTGAAACACTTCGATCTCTGTCAGGAAAGTCAGCCACTCCTCCGGGTTAGTAGTCATGTCCACTAGATCCGAGCAGTCCGTCTCAAATCGTACCGAAGTTATCCTTCTGTCTCTCATACATGAGGCTGCCCAAAGTAAACATTCCATCTCAGCATGCAAAGCTGAGAGGCTCCTTCTGCACGCTCATAATCCGTAGACTTCAGAACCCATTTGATCCATAAGACTCCACCGTAAACCACTAACACTGCTATTATCGATCCATGACGCATCAATTTCGCAGATCAGAATTCGGAATATTCAAGGGGGAACTGTCTCATCCTCTGTAATAGGAGGGTCGTCATGATCCTCGTTTGCCTCCTTCCTTTCATTAGCCTTCCTCCAACATTCTGCCTCAAGAGACGCGTTTTGAAGAGTGTCAATCGGGGGATACGATTTTCCATTAAAGAGTTTGTCGTTCCTCGCCTTCCAAATGTACCAACAGATCCATGGAAAGGCCTCGAACTGTGGTCTCAATGGAGCCACCTCTTTTCTCTTCCAAAACAGAAAGTTCATGTTTTGGTATATAGATGTACTCGGGAAGTAACCCGGAATGGACGGATAGTCCGATAAAGCCCAAACTTGCAGGGCTGGGGGGCATTCAAAAAGAAGATGATTAATCGACTACACTGGGCCAGCAGATCTAGGACAACTCCTATCGGTGCCCAGGTGTCTATACGTGAGCCTCTATGTCGTCGCTACACAGCCCAAGATAGCCACCCACAAAAAATGCTTCATCTTACTTGGGGCCTTTATCTTCCACACATGGCTCTGAAGGCTCGTAATACTCAGTTCTAGAACTTCTTCCTGTGAGAAATTCAGCTTAATCGATTGGAGTAGGTCATAACCGGTTTTAACTGAATACACTTCTGATTTTGTGTGGTTCCAAACATATCCATCCGGAGCTAGGACAACTCCTATCGGTGCCCAGGTGTCTATACGTGAGCCTCTTTGTCGTCGCTACACAGCCCAAGATAGCCACCCACAAAAAATGCTTCATCTTACTTGGGTCCTTTATCTTCCACACATGGCTCGGAAGGCTCGTAATACTTGGTTCTAGAACATCTTCCTGTGAGAAATTCAGCTTAATCGATTGGAGTAGGTCATAACCAGTTTTAACTGAATACACTTCTGATTTTGTATGGTTCCAAACATATCCATCCGGAGCATTAGACCGAGAAGGTTTTATCCCAAGTATCAAAGAGATATCTTTTGGGTGAAAAAATTCCCGTAAAAGTTGTATATCCCACTCTTTGGTATCATTCCTAATAAAGGACTGAACAAGAAGTTGGGGTAATCTGTAAACAATGTGATCTGCAGGTCTATAAGGTTGAGCTATTAAGTCAGGGATCCAAGACTCACTCCATACTAGGCTTGGGCGTTTTTACCCCAACCCGAAGTACCGACCTAAACCCGAACCGGAAAAACCGAACCCGGATCCAAACCATTATACACAACTAACCGAATGGGACTTATGAGCCTAGTACTTCGGACTTTGGTTATAATCCGAACCGAACCAAAATCCGATGTAGGATCCGAAGGTATCCGAAATTAGTTAAATATGATAATATTTTTATATATGTTAAGGTAATTTAGATAGTTTATAATATTCTAAATATTTTCATAGTCTATGCTATATGTTATTTTGAATATATCTTAGCTAATTTAGATAGTTTAACTAATTTTTAAGTATACTTGTGAATAATTTACATATTTTGAATACTATTTTGTCAAATTTTAGGTTTAAAAAAAATATTTTTGGACGATTTAAGACATTGGTTATAATCCAATCCGAACCGAATCCGGAAGGAACCGAACCGGACCCGATCCAATTATTAGTAAAAACCGAATGGTACTTATGAGCACAATACCGAAAATCCGAAAATCCGAATCAACCGAACCGAAACCTATTGGGCCACCGAACGCCCCGCCCTACTCCATACCCTCGTATCTCGACCCGTACCAATAGTTTTTCATAAACGCGATATGAGAGAGATTTTGCTGCCATGATACTACGCCATCCATATGATGGTGAGTATGTTCATCGGTCATCCAAAGGAGAGGTGTGTCTGTAGTACCTTCCCTTTAAGACACTTTCCAGTAGGGAGTTCGAGTAATGGATTAATCTCCACACTGTTTTGCAAGAAGTGCTATACTAAAGTCATGGAGATCTCAAAAACCTAGTCCCCTCGAATCCTTAGGGGTACAGATCTTGTCCCATGCTATCCAATGTAAACCTCTGATGTTCTGTTTTGAGCTCCACCAAAAACTAGAAATTGTGCTCCTTAGTTTATCGGGATTCCCTTGTGGAATCAAGTAGCACGACATTGGAAAAGTCAGAACTGCTTGACCCACTGATTTAACTTGTACTTCTTTTTCTCCTTAGGAGAGGAGTCTCGATGACCAAGAGTTAACTCTCCCATTGAGCCGATCTTGTATATATGAAAACACTTTCATCTTTGAACCACCGATTTGTTCTGGTAATCCAAGGTACATCCCCATGCCTCCTTCAGAAGAAAAGCCCAGGACTTCTTTTATATCCTTCTTTAAAAAATACGCCACTTGATTTTCAAAAAACATCAAGGATTTTGACGCATTTAATCTTTGTCCTAACGCTTTCCCATATGTGTCAAGAATGTCTATGATCTCTTTGCATTGGCTTAAATCAGCCTCACAGAAAAAGAGACTATCATCTGCGAAGAGGAGATGAGAAATCCTTGGACTCGCTTGTGCAACACGGAGACCGACAATTTTCTTCTCCGCTTCTGCTCCACTTAAAATCGAGGTCAAAGCCTCTGCACACAAGATAAACAAAAAGGGGGAAAGGGGGTCTCCTTGTCGTGAATCCTTACTTGGAAAAATCCGCCCTCTTGGTTGCACATTGACTAAAACTTGATATGAGACCGACGTGACACAACACATAATGAGGTCAACCAGTCTTTTATCAAAGCCCATTTTCATCATCAAAGCTGATAAGAACCTTCATTCTACTATATCATAAGCTTTGCTCATATCTGTTTTAATAGCCATAAATTCTTTCCTACACCTTTGGTTTGTCCGTAGGGCATGAAAATTCTCTTGTGCTATCAGAATGTTATCAGTAATTAAACGTTTGGCCACAAAGGCCGATTGTGTCTCTGAGATTAGACGTGGAATAACCCTCTTAAGTCTTTTGCATAGAAACTTAGATATAATCTTGTAGCTAACATTCTAGAGAATAATCGGTCTGAACTCGGTCATGTTCCGAGGTTTCTTCTTTTTAGAGATGAGACATATATTCGTCTAGTTCAAAAATGGATCGAACCTGCCGGTCATGAAAAAATCTTGTACATATTTAATAATGTCGCATCTCACACCAGAATTTCTGAAATAATACAAGTAAAATTATTTTAAAGAAGACTTCACTACAAAACAAATACAAATAAAATTGTGACAACTCTTGTTAAAGATAATTTAAATGAAGGAAAAGTTTTCACGGGGTGATAATACTAGTGTTATATAAAAGAAAGGCGAAAACACAAATCATCTCCAACCCTACTCTAAAACCCACTCCAAAATGGAGTAACAAAGATGATTACTCCAAATATAGAGTAAACCAACTCATTACTCCAAAATGGAGTTGAACTTTTTTATTTATAAAATGGTCCTCCACATTTATATATTTTTAGTTTTTAGTAAAATATTATTATAAATAAATATATTAATATTATTTTACTATATATATGATGAATTACAGTTAACATTTCTTAATCATATAAACAGCCTCATTTTTTAATAAAATATTATTATAAATAAGTATATTAATATTATTGTACTATATATATTATAAAATTTATTGTTAACATTTCTTAATTATATAAACAGCCTCGTTTTTAATAAAATATTAGTATGAATAATTATATTAATATTATTTTACTATATATACTATTAATATTTCTTAATTATATAAATAGCCTTGTTTTTAATAATACTATTATAAATAAGTATATAAATATTATTTTACTATATATATTATAAAATTTACTGTTATTGTTTCTTAATTATATAAATAGCCACATGATAAACTCTTTTATGCAAAAATATATATATAATATAAAACATAAAAGATCATACATATAGAAAATAAAAGATAAGCACCATACAAAAGAAATAACATAAAATAAAACTTACAACAAAGATAGTTGGTTAATAAACCGATAAATCATTTCCGAATCTATTGAAATTATTAAAATAATTGGATAACATATTATTAAATTCTTACATAACATGATAATATAAGATGATTGTGATCTCGAAAAGCCAATTGAAGATGAAAGAGAAGTTCTATTTAGGGAAGTTGAAATTGAAGGATGTGAGGTTCCAATAGTTTATTTCCCATTTCAGAAAAATCAAAGATAAAGAAGCTTATTTTTTACTTTAAAATACATTAGTTGATCATTTGAGGGAAATTTATTCTAATTCTAATGAATAATTTAGAATTGATGTACTAATGTGTTTAAGCTATGTAATGTAATTTTTAATGTACTAAATGTTCTCTTAAAACTTTGTTGAGTAATTTTATTTATATAATAAAAATTTAATTTTAGTTAATTATGTATTTAATAGAAATGCTATAAATAAAAAATTGACTGTTTTGCAAATAATATAAATGAAAGGTGATATATTAATTTAAAAATAGAAAATATAAAACATAATATATTAGAAATATTTTTGGAGTAGAAAATGGAGTAATACATTGGAGGCATTTTGGAGTAATACATTGGAGATGGAGTGGATCGGGAGAACGAAAAAAAATCACTAGACGAGTGCTCTGCTGTGACTATAAGAGGATGCATTCTTTTGGATACAGAGCGAATGCTCTGCTCACGTTCGCTGTGACGATACTGGCCTTCATGTGCGCGATTTGTCATTCTCTGATAACTTCAGTAACCAAACTCCCTCTGCTCAGATCCAGGTTTGACTTTTGTTTTCAATTGCAGAGATCTCTTAGTGTGATCCTGGATCGAAAGATGCGTGCTTTAGATCCTGCTTAGGGTTTACGTTGTTTAGATCCTTAGTTTTGTTTTAATTCTGTTCTGCGGTGGAAAAGTTTGGACCTTTTAATTAGGATTGTGCTTTGGCGTGGTGTGATGTGCAGATATTGAACATCAATTGGTTTCAGAAGCAACCCCATGGAAATGATGAGGTAAGCTTTCATGCCATTAACTCTTCCTTGTGTTTTTTTTTTTTTCTTACATAGTCATGATCTTACTTTTGGTTTGAAATGTTAGTGAGAGTCATACTAAGCTTAGTATTCATTGTGTATTCTTGAATTTCATGGCCCTTGGGATTCAGATGCGACTCTTTCTTTGAACACTGTAGTAGAACAGAATGATTTTACAATAGCCTAATACTCTTGAAAGTCATATTGAACTCAAATTTTTTGAATATACACCAGATGTGATATTGGTTAATAAGTTATATACACGGTTATTTTTTGGCTTATGCTCACACCAGTGAAACCACTAGTTTTGTCTTCGCTAGCTGTTGCATATATTCAGAACTTTATGTGTGTTTTCAGGTCAGCTTGACACTGAATATAACAGCGGACTTGCAGTCACTATTTACTTGGAACACGAAGCAGGTATAGTAGCATTAGCATCTGAAACAACATCAAATGCTAATTTGCCATCTTCACTATCTCGTACTGCATTGTTGGATACTTCTTTCTGTATGGTGTCGGATGAACATAATGAAACCAACACAAACGAAAATATTTGCAGGTGTTCGCTTTTGTAGCACCAGAGTATAAAACCTCCAAAAACTCCCTGAATCAGGTAACGCTTTATAGCCTACTGCTCTCGTTCTGGATAAGAACTAGTTCAGAGTTATGTGGTTTTAGTGTGTAGATCATGACCTCTTGTTGATATACCATGAACATTTGACATTTTCACAGGTTTCTCTATGGGATGCCATAATACCTGAGAAAGAGCATGCCAAGTTCTGGATACAAATCTCAAATAAGTACCGTTTCATCGATCAGGTACTTGAAGCACTTTCTCTTAAAACAATCTTTGTTCCCCCTTTGTCAAGAGCATATCTGATTGTGTCGTGAATGAGATTTTTCTAGGGACACAACCTTCGAGGGAAAGACTTCAACTTGACACTGCACTGGCATGTTATGCCCAAGACTGGCAAGATGTTTGCTGACAAAATAGTAATGTCTGGTTATCGTTTACCCGATGCATACAGATGATTATGAAGAGCCTCATGCATCATCATCTAGGATAGAAAGAGAGTTATGTTTCAGGTGCTGAGTTAGAGTAGATATGAAGTTGAGACATCGTTTTGGAATGAAACTGCCATGTGGTAGTTTCAGCTTTAGAGGAGGTATGAAGCTTCTGCATACATAAGGGGTATTTATTTATACATAGTTTAAAATATTTTTATGTAAAAGATAATAAGTAGATAATGATTATGTTGGCTACATGTGATTTTGTTTTACTAAAACGAAAATAAATGACAAGATAGAAAGTGTGTTGAGATTTTCCTTTTTCGTGTGAGCTTTTCCTGTGTTTATAAAAGAGAGAGAGCTATGTATCTCTTCAATCATCATCAATGACTAGGAAGACAAAACTTAGGAAAATGGAATCTGTATCAGTGTCCCACCATGTGGTAGAGCTAATCATGGAGAGACTTCCGGTGAAGTCTTTGCTGATTTTTAAGGCTGTGTCAAAGAAATGGAAATCAACGATCCGAATCCCGGTTCTTCCAAGAAAAACAGTTGAAGCATCGTCAGCAGTTTGGAGATCAAGATGTTCTCATGGTGTTGTCAAGTTCTCTAAGAACACTTGTGTTTGGTTCATTATCATCATCATCATCATCATCGGCCAAGATCCCTTGGGGAAAAGAACCTTACTTAGTTTGTCAGAGTAGCGTGGACGGCCTTGTTTGTATGTATGATTCTCACAAACCTAGTTTTGTAGTCAACCCCACAACTGGATGGTATCGACCTCTTCCTCTATCAAGATTACAACAACTCATTATCGACTTAGGATACGGTTACTTCAAGCTTGGACACGCAAACTTCAAGCCTGGGTTCGGTTAAAGACGAGTTTACAGGAACACACAAGCCTGTTTGGCTCTATAACTCTTTTGAAATAGGCTTAGAGAATGATACTACGTGTGAAGTTTTCGATTTTAGCACCAACTCTTGGAGGTATATCACACCCTCTGCTCTTTGTCAGATTATAGGAGGTTACCCTACTCCTGTGTTTGTAGATGGATCACTTGAGTCACTTCATGTGAAGAAACCAAGGTGTTGTCTTTCGATCTTCATGTAAAGCTCCCTTTGTATCCTATGCTAATCATTTGGAGATTCTTTTGTGCGTATCCAAGATGAATCGGTTTAACCAAGTTATATGGTCGTTCAATTCATTCAACAAGACATGGGACACACTCTGGTCCATAGAAGAAGAGGAATTTGTTGTTTTATGATCGTGCTGACAAACATACGCTGGTGATACATGACCCTGAAACCCAATCATATGATGTTGCTTTTTGCTGATAAATCTATTGAATTTCATGTTTGTTATTTTCCAAGTTTAATCTCCCTTTGATTATTGTCAAATTGTTAATATCAATCTTTGCTTGCAAGTTATGGCTATTGTGTTATTATGTTACTGGATAGAACATATTTCAAATCATCTCTGGATCTCCTATGGAATCAAGTAACACTATTTGATAAATGCAGACTAATCCGTCAAAGTTTTAGACCTTTTTGAATTACATATCCTCAGCAAGAAAACAACAGAATCCTCGAGAAAGAATAAACACTTTGTTTAAACTCTTCTACGAGATCTCCTCTTGTTAAGAAGAACCGAAGAACAACAAGACCTGACTTCAGAAGCTAACTTCACAAAACTCTCTTTCTTGAATCCAAAGACCAGTGAAGCAACCAAACATAGAAACACAAAGACCAAAGATCTAGCCTCCCTCTTCAACTCTTTCAACAAACTGATACCAAGTAAGCAAACTCCTAAAACCTTCAGAATCTCATCACTCTTTATCATCATCTTCCCAGAGACTTTGGAGTAACCATAAATCCACAGCATTACACAAACGAGAATCAAAATTGGTACTCTGTTTCGTTTCCTTCTCCACCCATCAAATCTCCCCCATCCTCTCCAAAACCCTCTGCCACCACCACCACCATCACCTCCTCCTCCTCCTCTATCTAAGCCGCCTAAATCAGCAATGACGAGATCCAACGGCTGCGGTAGAATCTGGAGATGAGGGGACAGTAAAGACAGAGACTTGAACAGAAACCTCGCAGTTCTTCCGTGCCCGGGCACTCTTTTCTTCCTTCTCCTTGCATAAAGAACCAAACTTTGGAATTGGGTTCGATGTGGAATCGAAGGGAGTGACAGAGAGACTCGAGATATTGACGAAAGTCTCGGACTTTGTGGATGAATCAAATGAAACCTATTGAGATGCGGAGATAGATGAAGAAGAGTCATCAGCGCAATTTCTTCTGTCTACTTGTTTCTCGGTCTAATAGAAATAGCCGTTGCTGCTCAATGCGTATGGGATTGTGTGTTGTGCGTCTTTCAGGTTTCTTCGAACCTGTTCTTCTTTACGCACGCACGTTTGTAATAACAAAACCAAGCCGAACCGGAAACTAAAAATTAAGACATAAAAATTCGAACTAAAACTGAAATTTAAAATTACTCGTGCGTGGCTTCTTTCAGACATTCTCCATGTTCTTTTCTCGGGAATCCAGGTACACTTCTACTCTGTCTACTGAATCTCTGCTATTTGTTTGGTTTGGTTTATGTTTTAGTTGTTTGAACTGTTATTGTGTGGGCTAAGAAAATGAAGTCAGGAAGAAGACAAACGAGCAGCTTAGTATCTGTTCGATCTGAGCAGCTTTTGATGTGATTCACATTTACCATCTTGGTTATAAATGCCAAAGTTTCGGTCTTTCAGTTTGATTCAAATCCCAATTATACAAATACCCTTTCATTTGTTTCACATTTTTGTAACAATGTCACTATTAATATGTGCCTTCCCACCCTATGCAGTGGTGCTAAAGCTGCTCAGTTTTTAAATCTAGTTTGATCAAAAGAAAAAAAAATCTAGATCTTCTTACATTTTTTCTGCAAAACTATTCATCAAACTTTCGTAAAGGTTCTTGATCATATCTTTTTCAATCGACAACATAGCCAAACCATTTAATCTTAAACTCTTCTTACTTCATTATTCTAAAACTGAAAAACATAGAAACACAATTAAACAAAGAGAAACAAAACTATTGTGACTTTTCAAATGTGTGAAATCAAGAACAAAGTTAAAATTAAAAATCAAAATTTGAGACTTTGGTACCTGATGAAACAGTGGAAGAGGGGTGAAAGAATGTTTGTGAAGAAAAAAATTAACGTAGAAGCTGATTGAATGGACAGACATAGCTTTAGCACCACTGCATAGCGTGGGAAGGCACATATCCTTTCATCAGTGGACAGACATAGCTTTAGCACCACTGCAAGAGCGAGCTGTTGAAGGAAAATGCTGACCACAGTGTCTCTGTCCTGCTGAGTTAATAAGTGCTTTGAGGTTCAAAGGTAGCAGACATCATGAATCCAGCTAAACCCGCAATCACCCATCTAAAGATTTCATCATGAATTCAGTGAACGATATTCTGCTTCTTGTTCTTGAATGTTAGCTGATGAAACTAATATTACATCATGATATTGATCAGAAATTGAGGAACAGACGTGAATTAGTGATTGTTTCAAACGTTCAGACGCAGACAAAAGAGTATAATTTTTTCCACAAAATGACCCTGAGATTGTAGTCTCATTGGACATCTTTTCTTTAATCTCAGTCACATGATCCTACACAGAGGTCCTTGCTTTTATTACAACAGAAGATAACAAACATAACTACACATAACCATAAAGTTCTCTACGCCCAGAAACTCAATCTGGCAACAACAGAAGCCTTATGCAACCCTACAAATCAGATCCTTGCTTTTAAAAAAATCAATAGTTTTTCAATGAGAAAAGTCTACAATACTTGCCTGCTTGAAATTCTTTCAATAACAGACTTGCCAACACACCAGTCTTTTGCTCTTGCTTGGCCTTTATGGATTTTTCAACCTACCTTTAGTGACAAACAGAGATTTTCTTATTGCAAGAATGAGAAACCATGTGGTTGCAGTGATTTTCTCCTTGATCATTAGCAGCAACGCCGAGCTCAGAACTGTCTTCAGGATCTGAGCCTGCAAGCCTTTGAAGAACCCTAAGACCCCTTCCTTTTTCCATATGGCAGAGATGACACCCGGTATCGTTTTACTGGTTCTTTTTGGGAACTTCTTTGCTTCATTATTCTTCGACTCATCTGCTGCTTGAATCATCACCTTGCACCTACAAAAAAACCACCATGAATGCAAGCATACAGATCAATATCCCGCAAAAGAGTCTTGGATCAATGCAACAGCAGTATAATACCTAATTGCTGGATATGTGATGACTGTAGCAGCACTTTTGGACACGGCACCCAATAAGAAGGCCATAAAAGCAGAGAGGACTACAGGGGAAGATTCTTTGTTGGCTTTTGCCTTTCTTTTTTCAAGGAGGTTCTGTTTCAGCTGATCAAACACTGTATACTGCAAACAGAAGCTTACTGATCAGCTTATTAATTGCAGATAACACTTGGGAATATGAAGTTGATGATTTTTAAATGAAGTAGAAAGGAACCTGAATTGCAGGATTGGAGGTGAGTAAAAGAGAGATCCCAAGGCCATCAAATGCATTTCCCCAATCACCCTCGGTTAAGGTCTTCCACAGTCCTTTAGCTTTTCCAAACTCGCTTGTTTGCATCCTTGATGAAGCTGTATCTAGAGGCTTTTACACAAACATAGAACTCAAAGTTATTTATTGCATAGAGAACAAAGAAGACCACATAGGTTTATTTGAATTAGAGCTGGAGTGCAAAATCAAAACGTACTTGGGTGAGTACAGAGGTACAAGCTCCAGCAGCAGCAGCAATAAGCAGGTTAGCCGTAGTGCCAATTGACTTAGAACCTACCCTTTCACTATGTAACCTCTTGAAATAGCTATAACTATAAAAGTAGATGAATGAGGAAACAAAGGACTGCAAATTCTTAGTCCCAAGGCCTTGATACAGAGATAGAACATTCCCTGAAGAAATCGCTTCCCAAAAAACATCTGACAAGTATCTGAAAACGTTATACCAAAAAAAACAACAACACAACTTTAGGTTATTCAAGACAAAAGTCAAAAAGACAAACACAGATGATTATCATTATCATACTAAACGTGAAAAATATGTTCTCAATACAGCTTCTAAAACAGTTGCACGAGCTTCTTATTGTCGATTTACATTATAAGTCCAAATACGAATCTCTTTTTTTTTTACTAAAAATAAGAGAAAAAACTTTGAAGTTACCCATAAAAAAAATAAAAAAACAGCTACGTTACGATCCAGACGAGGATCTGGATCCAGACATGGAAGAGAAAACCAATTCCTACCATCGTTTTCAGCTTTTTAAGATAAACACGCAATTGAATTATATTCCAGATTGGTTGGGGGGGGGGGGGAGATCATGATCTGGTAACAAACCAAAGCACGAAGTATCATAGGCAAAGGAAGA